TGATTTTGTGAGGAAAATACTTTTTGTGAGTGAGATCAATAATATAATTTTACAATGGTAGAATTGTAAAATTCACCAAGGTAATTATTTATATAAACCTTGGTTGAATATTGTCCATATAGGAATTATATATGTGATTCTAAGTTAAAATCGTTAAAAGCTTATCTTTGGAGATTGTGTGATCAGTCCTAGGTGTAGATTGAAGATTAACCTTAGTCCCAAAATCTTCATTGTTTCTTGGTTAGCTTGTTTAAAACCAAGATAGGTTGAAGTTAAACCTAGTTACAAAAGCTTCATTGGTTAGAGATTAATTTGGAGAAAATCTCACAGGTTTTTGGTTAGCCCGTCTAAAACCATATAGAGTTCTCTTGTGATAGAACTTGAAAACTAACCACTCCAAGATCCTTGTTCGTGGAAAGGAGACTAACTGATTCAATCCGCAGTTGAGAAGGAAGCTTGGTCACTTCACTCTCAGCAATATTTTGGAGAAAAGACGCAAACGTCCATATCTATTATCTTGTAATATTTGGGTAGAAGGTCAACTATAGATTTCCTTGCATAAGGGGATTCATGAGTCTTTCCTACTAAAAGCTCTTAAGTATTATTGGAAACTCTCAAGACCAAGTCTTAGGAAGAGGAGTAGGTCATTTTGATTTGACTGAACCTCTATAATTTTGTGTGTTCTTCTTATTTCCTTAACTATTTAATTTTTTATATTTAATTTCTGTTGCTTAAGCTTTTAAAAATGTTTTTAAACTCTGATTTAAATTGTCAAAAGTTTTGAAAATAATGTTTTTCGTAACCACACAATTAATCCTCATCTTGTGTGTAAAGTCTCAAGTCCAACAAGAATGCGAGGGATGTCTTTATTCTTCCACTTATTTGGGATAGTTGGAACACATCTAAAGTGAAAGTGTTTTCTTGGCAATATCCTTCAGGATAGATTTCCCTCTAAAGAGAATCTTTTCAAGCGGGAGGTTATTGTTGATCTAGAGGGTATCTCTTGTATTATGTATAAGGGATTTCTTGAGTCTGCTTCTCATTTGTTTGTTACTAGTAACTTAGCTTCCAGTGATGATACATGATTTTTAGAGGGTTGGGAGTCCAGGTTGTCCTCCCTATGGACCTTAGCACTCTTTTTGAGTTCTTTCGATCATTAAAAGGAAGGGCTAAGGTTATGGGTGTGTATGTCATGATCTGGCATGTTGTGGTGTGGACTATTTGATTGGTGCATAATAATATGTTGTTTTCTAGTATAAAAACAAACGTGAAGGAAGTGGATGAAAAAGTATTTTCTAGTATGGAATTAGTGTTTGTGAAGGTCTTTTGCGAACTCAACTTGCTCTTGGATTAGCTTGAAATAAGATTTATTAATAGAGGTTCGAGATGGGTCCCTATCTTGATGGGTGATGTGATGTGATTGTAGCAGGTGTCTCTTGCTTTGTTCTTAACGGGACTTGTGATTTGAGCTCTATCTTGATTCTCAGTTGAGGAAAACCCTGATTCTTGATTTTGGTTCTGGAATTTGTTTCTTGTTATTCGCTTTTCGCCTTTTTTGTTGTTTTCTTCCTTTTTTATTGTTGATTCTTGTGTCAATTTTGTTGTATCTGAACTTTAAGGTTTTTACCTTATTTTATATATATATATATATATATATATATATATATATATATATATATATATATATATATATATATATATATATATATATATATATATATATATATATATATATATATATATATATATATATATATATATATATATATATATATATATATATATTGCCTTTAAAAAAATTCAACCTAAAGCAATTTTTTAAATAGAAACAATGTTGCCTTTCTTATAAGCACAATAAAATTTAAAAGAATTAGGTTATGAATGATAAAAAATAATTTAAACCAATTACACTTAACTTATTTAAATAAACATAAATAATTTTATTATTATTATATTATATTTTATATTAAAAAATTAATTATCTTAGAATCTTATAAAAATAAATTTTATAAAAAATATGAATAATATAATAATAACTTGTTTTCATAAAAAAATTCAAATATATAGTCTCAAAAAATTTATAATATAAGGTAGGATCAGATAAACAAAATGCAAAAATACATTTAATTTAATTATGATTTTAATTTGTTAATATATTTAAATATAAATTAAATTATTTATTTAATATATTCAGATAAAATAAATTTAAATAACTAACAAATCAACCATACTTTGATTTAGTTTTAAAAATAAAGCCTAAATCAACTCATCAAATTTAGACTAAATTTTTTAGCGATCTAAACTTAAATTTTGCAAAATCTAATTAGAGTTTATTCTCATCCCTAATAACCTTTCTTATTCAACTTATGCCTTCTTAGTATTTATGATCTTTATCTATATTAAAACCTAAAATAAATAAAAAAATTAATGATAAAGTAAAAATACTTCAATATAAAAACACTATTGATTAAATTATTTCTTAATCTATGAAATATAACTATAAAAAAAACATGAAATTAAGGCACTATACTCAAATTTCTCCACTCTTTACGATTAAGCCGAAGTCGATGTTATTAATGACGAAGAAGAAGAAGAGACAATAGTTGATTATATGGTGAACGATGATGTTGAACGCGAGAAAGACTCTTTACCTTCGAGTCATGTGTATTGTTCGTCTGAGCACATGACAAACTTGAATTTGGATGAAGACAAATTATCCTCAGATATCTTTTACAATCCACGTATACAGAGAGATGGAGCATTAAAAAAGAGAGACAAATTTGGTACAAAAGAAGATTATACGAGAGCTATAAATGTGCATCTATTGAGAAACATTCATCTATTAAGAGTGCATACAATAACTTTGTAACAGTTGACAAGATTCTCTTTTTAGGCATTTCTACTATATCAGACATATTGCACAAAACTTCACACGGAAGATCAAAGACAAGACCCTCCAGAAAAAAGTTGTGAATGCAGGCTATGTGTTAACAGAACCATCGTCCCAACACTACTGCGAAGAGATCAGGTTGACAAATACGGATGCGTTAAGGTGGATCGATAGTATTCCAGTAGAGAAGTGGACCGGGGCATTTGACAATGGTTAACGATGGGACCTCGTGATAATAAATCTTGTGGAATCAATGAACTCTGTCGTCAAAGGAATCTGAAACCTACAGATAATGCATTGGTGAGACAACCTATTTTAGGTTAGGGTCACTATTCGAGTCCAGAGGTTCAAAATTGAGGTCAGTGTTGCAATCAGGATAGTTATTTAGCGAAAGTTGTATGAAATATATTAAGGATGAAACTACCAAAGCTAACACACATGTGTTTACAATGTTTGACCGTATTAAAGATTGATTCAATGTACAAGAGACAAAGACCATAATGAGAGAGGCTAAAGGAATACTATCAGATAGAACTAGACAGATGTTGGTGCGATTGTAGAAAGTTTCAAGTCTTCTGTATGCCTTGCTCTCATGTCATAGAAACATGTTCATATGCTCGCCAAGACCCTTCCAAGCACCTATCGTCCGCTTAGAAAGTCATAAACATATTCAATGTGTACAACAATAACTTCTTGGTGGCAGCAAAAGAGGATTATCGGCCTACTTATCAAGAGGACATAGTTTGACATTAACAAAAATATGAGAAGGAAGAAAAAGGGTCGCCCTAAGAACACGCATATTCGAACTGAAATGAATACATCAAACAAAATGGTAAGATTATTCAGTACATGTCGTCAACTCAGACACAATCGAAAAAATTGTCTCAATAATGTTGGATCAAGCTCTGCAACATAATTATTGTATTCAATATTGATATGTAGTTTATTTTTTGCAACCATGAAACTTCATATTGAATACAATTTTCATTTCATATCGAGTACAACTTTCGATTACAGGAAAGCGAACACAAGCACACATAAAACAACAACACGAAAAAACAAATAGAATGATTAAACACTACAACATGTCTAGGAGATTACAACCATCAGGGCAATATCATGGATCCATACATCATAACACAACAGTCACTATCAGTTTTAATTTACTACTACACACGATGTAATCCATTACTGTTGAAAATCGTAACAAGCCTATCGATTATTCTAATTTTTCACTGTCTTAAATGTCTCAGTCGAACCAACGGATCAAACTCCTCTCTAGATGCTCGAAAGTCTTAGTGTTACAAAGTTGGATCTTTATTGGAGATTTTACTGACGAATAAAAAAGCTGAGCATTTCTTTTAATAATGTGAGACATTTTGAAGAAAGATTTAAGAATGAAACGAGAAGATGAGTTACAAATGATGGAGAATGAATGAACTATTATAAAAAAACATTACAACAATAAGCGCCGTGGAGAATGATGACTCGTCTTAGGAAAGCAATGCATGCGTCAGAGAGAATGTCATGTGCTCTTAAATAAACAAAGTATACGCTACATGCATTGATATGACCAACAATGCATGTGTGAGAAGCAATGACGCATGTGTTAAATTTTAAGTGCATGTGTCTGAGGGAGTATCGACTTTTCTTACATGCAATTTTTTTTAGTTTGAAACATAATTTTGATAAATAATTTAGAATGTTTTATTTAAATATTTTATTTGAAAAAGTTGATTATTTGAAGAAAAAAATTCTTCATTTGATCTTAATTTTACCTTTCTCAACTACCACACGTGTGGGATGAGGATAAATTTCAAATATAAATATACATATGATGTTCATCTCACATGAAAGCAAACAAAACCGAAATCTGTTAATTCGATGTCTCATAAAATTTGAGTCATAATTTAACAACAAACCCCACACACATAGTGCCAAACCATACGGAAAGAGTATCCCTTAAATGCTGCAGTTGGTGCAGTGCAGCCCTCATTACTCCATCATCAACAATTAGCCACACAACAAACAACTCACACACAAATATATGTTCCAACATTTTTTTTCTCATTCTTTCTCTCATCTTCTCTTTTTGTATTAGCCAAGGGAGATGAATTATTGTGCCACAAAAAGTGTTGTAAAGAGAAAAGGTAAAGAAACTGATGAAACGTTGTCGTTCACAAACAATAACAAGATGTTGTCGCATGATCAACATGATCGGAACAAAGGAAAACGGTTTCCTCTTGTGTCGTTTTGGGAGCTTCCGAATTATATGAAGGATAATGAATATATTTTACGGTATTATAGAGCGAATTGGCCTCTTAAAGAAGCTTTGTTCAGTCTCTTTCGTTGGCATAATGAAACTCTGAATGTTTGGACGTAAGCTTTTGTTTTTTAAATCAAGATCTATGATTTTTTGTCTGTGTTTTTTATGTTGATTTGTTTTTCATCATGTTTCAGACATTTACTTGGGTTTATTCTGTTTCTTGGATTGACCTTGGCCAATTTGATGAAGCCTCATGTTGTTGATCTCTTACAACAATTTACAAGGTAATATTCTTATCTTACAACAATTTATGATTACGTAGTGAATACGTCTCTGAAAAAATATGTGTCAGGTCGATGTACACTTAAACCGACACAATATTAATATTTATGATTACATTTAATTTATATATTTTATTAAATTATTATCAATTTCGACATGTTAATATCGGGCATCCGTGTCGTGTTTGGTGTCTGTGTCTAGTGTCCAAGTTTCATAAGAAATGAATAGAGGATCCAACATTTCTTTAAAAGTATATGTCACCTGTTACAACTAATACATATTGAAATGTTAATCTAAGCAATTTTAACTCTTCTAAACTGGCTTAATAAATTAGTTTAATTAACAATAACAGCTAGATCTTCTAGAATTCGTTTGCATTCAAGTTTAGGTAACCGTCCAGTAGAGAAATCAATTATCAAATTTTCTAGTTAGTGGTTGACAGGTAAGTAACTTGAACAAGAGCCCTCAGCAAAATTGCTTTTTTTCAAAATCTCTTCCATTCATTAACAACTTAACTTTAGCTTCTACTTTCTTTTAGTCTCTTTTGTATTAGTCACTTTTGATGGTGAACTTTCTATAGCTAATAACAGTGTCTTTTTTTAACAGATTTTTCAACTAATTTTGCTTATAATTTTTTTTTCTGCATAGGTCTCTCTCTTCAGGTGGCGAAAAAAATGTCTCTGGTACCATCAAAGATTTCCTGGTAAGTCTGCTCATGCTAAAAATATGAATTACCGACGAAAATGAAATCGGATCGGCTTCTAACAATGTAAGATTATACAGGGCGCGGCATTACTGTTTGATCTTAAACATCAGGTACCATTGAAAATGGAAGTTGAAGCCTTAGAATTTGTTATAGCAAGATGGCCATTCTTTGTTTTCTTAGGTGGTTCTATGTTCTGTCTCTTATCAAGCAGTATCTGTCACCTCTTTTCCTGTCACTCCCATGACTTAAACCTGTTTCTGTTAAGACTCGACTATTGCGGAATCGCTGTCATGATCATAACTTCATTTTTCCCTCAGATTTACTATGTTTTCCTCTGCCAGCCTCATTGGCAACTCCTCTACCTAGCTGGTATAACAGCCATGGGACTATTCACCATAGTAACATTGCTTTCTCCAACACTTTCTACTGGAAAGCATCGCGCGTTTCGAGCTATGTTGTTCTGTTCGATGGGACTTTTTGGTATTGTGCCTGCAGTTCATGCTTGTATTGTGAATTGGGCGAATCCTCGGCGCAATATTACACTAGCATATGAATGTGCCATGGCATTTTCTTACTTGATTGGAACAATGTTCTACGTGACGCGGATACCCGAACGATGGAAGCCTGGTTGGTTTGATTTAGCAGGACATAGTCATCAAATATTTCATGTTTTAGTTGTGGCTGGTGCTTTGGCACATTATGCAGCTACTCTTAAATTGCTTGAATGGCGTGACACTTTTGGGTGTGACATGGTTTAAATTAAGGATCTATGTTTCAATACATATATATCTCTATGTATATGCACCATGATATGGATTCTCTGCATTGTTGGATTTGAAGCAACTGTGGATAATTCACTAGTCCAATGCCAAAAGAGGCTTATGTTATTGTCATTCATTAAAATGTTAAATAATATTTGTCTTCTTTTTTGAATTTGTTATTCATTATATTATTGTACCTAGAATTTATTATTCAATGTATTATTGTGTTGTTTCTTGAAAACATGGTTTGAAATTGATATGGATTCTTTAAGCATAAGGTCTTGAAATCAGTCATGTGTATTGAAAGAATTGGGTGAGTAGGTAACTTTTTCTTTTTTCTTTGGACAATGACTGTATTCTTATAGAAGATTAAGGAAATGACATTTGGAACATGTAACTCGAAGTAGGGATTAAATCCATGATGCTTCAATAGAAATAATAATGAGTACAAATCTTGAACTCGAACACTAGACATGTCACTTCAATCCACAACAAAACCATATACTGGTATTCGAGGAATGGATGAAAACAATCTATTCACAATTCACCATAAAATTAAAATAAAATTTAACTCATTCATCATTGAATAAAAATTAACCCAATCTTTTCATTATAGTATTCAAGAGCTAGACATAAGTGATGGAGTGATGAAATAGAGTTCAAATATATTGGATCAAACTTTCAGTGCGGTGGATCAAACATCTAGTGTGGTGGAAAAATAGGTGGACCTGTAAGGTTGACACTCTAACGCTCAAGTCAGTGACTGAGTGAAAAATGTCTTGAGAATGAGTGAATTTAATATCTGAAAGGGCGCAATCTGATCTTATATGGTATAAGCGGTTAAAATCTTTTCTGTGTGATTCGATGCTTTGTGCAAGTTTTTGTTCAATTAGATTCAATCGTGAGAGATGCGGCGAAGGGCGTGGTCGTGTGTTTTTGGCAGCGGTGAGGGTCAACTTGTTCCAAGCACCTTCTTCATTAACACTTGTTATTAGGTCTTCATTGTGGGCCTTGTGAATGGTCCATAACAATTGTCCCTAAGCCCTTGTTCCTACATCGTTGAACGAGGATATTTTCAGGTTTATCTTCAGTCCGACCTATGGTAGAATAAAATACAAAAGTCTTGATGGGACATTGATGTCTTTAGGAAGAGGTGCATTAAATGTCTCCCTCGTGATTAATAATGTTTCACATGTACATCTCAACACGTGTGTAACACTCTATTTCCCCGTCGGTTAATTATATAAAAATCAGAGTAAAATAAAATTTACACATCAATAACAAATAGGATGTCACATCATTCAACATAATCAAATTTGATCAGTTAAGATAAGACAGATACATAACACACATTTTGGATGAACCAACAATATTTCAACATGATCTTCAAACTTCAACTTTATTAACGCGGCAGAATGAATTTCATAATTATTCTAAAATCTTCAACCATTATAAACAACAATTTAATCAATTAAATGAGAGTCTACAACACTCCCAAAATCCTCAAAAGACATCAATTAAATAAAATAATCGAGCGTTCATCCCTCAGTGTTACGTATCAGAGCAATGACATCCACTCAATAAGAGAAAGCAACTCAAGTTCATAACGATTACATGGATACATACTTAATTATCATCAATTATGGTTCATAACGATTACACGGATACATACTTAATCATCATCACCCATCATACGACATAAATCGAACATACAACTCAACTTCATTATCATCACCCATCATACAACGTAAATCGAACATACAACTCGACTTCATCGAATATCAACAATTCAACAAATGCAATGCGACTGACACAAATGCAAGATGAATGTGGAACCATCAGGGCATAAGCCCTCAACAAATTTCCATATAGGCCAGCGCATAAGCCCTCAATATTTTCCATAAAGGTCAGGCCATAAGCCCTCAACATTTTCCATAAAGGCTAGGGCATAAGCCCTCAACGATGCATGAAATACGACATGTCACAACCAAAATTATGCAATCACAAGCATATCCATCAACATCATGTCAATTTCAGGCCAACAACAACATCTTTGCCATATTGCAATACATTATGCAATACATTCATACATCATTCGTACAACACCATCACGTTTAATCCCAACAATATACATCACACTTCATACAACATTAACACACAAGACATAAGTCTTCACCAAGAAAATTATAAGAAGATAGAAAATATCACATCACATCAACACCAAACTCCTCATGATTAATTTCACGACGATAACAATTTATCATTAAAATAGGGTCATCCCAATTAATCTACAACAACTGACACTGACACCCAAGGCATAAGCCTTAAAACCAAAAATAATTCACCTACTATTATCAAAATTATTATCACATTGTAGAAAATGTTTTTAGTTTTTTAATAGTCCAAACGGTGCGTCATACGGACACCGGAGGCGAAAGTTATGATTTTTAGAAGTTTTCTAAAAATGTTGTCAGTAGCAGTGGTAACCGGTTACCCATTTATAGTAACTAGTTACCGCAAGACAGTAACCTTTTCCATTTTCAAAATTCCTCGCGCTAACTGGTCACCCACTTATGATAACCGGTTACTGCAAATCAGTATCCAATTATTTAAAAACACAAACAGTGATAACCGGTTACCCATATATGGTAACCAATTATCCATTGTGAACTGACCCCAAAAATAGATTTTTCTGCTACGAAATCCCATCTTCTTCACCCAAAAAACCTCTTTTTATTAAAGATCAAATACATCAATTATTTTAAATCATCAACACACATTGTGATACAGTGGCAGAACCGACTGTTAATACTGGTTTACGTTTTTTGTTCGCAAATGTCGCGGTAAGCAAGAGTCGCCATCGACTTTTATTTCATCCAACAAAGGAAAAGGAAAAAGAACAGAAAAAACCTTTTTCGAGATGTTTCTGAGTACGGGGGGTAGATTATAGAAAGGGGAGGTGTTAGCACCCTTTCTATCCGTGGTTTTCCACGGGCTCTTAGATGCTAGCTCATGTTTTGAAAATTTCTCGTGCTTTGTGTGTTTTGAACATTGTTTTGAAAATGCCTTAGTGCGGCGATTCGCTTTGTGATAACTCTTGTATCAGTCCTCAAGAGTGTTGACAAAGCGAATGCTTTTGAAAGTGTTTTGAAATATTTTTGTGTAGGTGTAAAAAGTTGTTTTGAGCAAGCATCTAAGAACTTATCTACTTATACTCAAAAAGTTCGTTCTTTTCCTCCTAACCTTTAGACAATGTTATCCTACTTATAGTGAGTAGGTAGCCCTATCGTTGGATGTATGAGGGACGGGCGTGGGTCATCGTTATAATCATAGAAGGCAACATATAGGGATAACTTAACAGTTCGAAGGGACTGTCATCATATAGACAACATCGAGGGACAAGATCATTTCTCGTAGGCAATTCGAGGGACGTGAAGGGACTATGATCTTTATGATGACTTTTAGATTGAGGGTATTTTGCTAAGATATCCCTACGTTCGAGGGACATGACCATTGTTTTCCGAGGCAACCAAGTGAGGTAGTACCCTAAGGGTGCAAGTGTGCAACAGTGTGTTTTTTCAGTTATACTTATCTTGTAATTAGGGTTTTCTATCGTTCATTTTTATCTTTCCATACAATCCTATTAATCTAAGCATTGCATAAAATATAGTAGTTGAAGGTGAAGGCGGAAATGTAAACCTAGGCTATTACAGAGCTTTGGGTCAGTTACATAATAGTGAAGAGTGCGGAAAAGAAATCCTAAAACTATTACATCCCAGAAGCAATTACATGATAATGATAAAAAGCGGGAAAAATAAAGCTACGTTATTACAGTTGAACGCGTCCTATACACTTTATCTAGGAAAATAAAAATAAGATAAAAATAGAAAAGAAAATATTTTGGTGATTTTTTATGAAAAAAAATGATTTATGATAATTAATTAAATAAGTCTAAAAAACTTAATTAATTTTAATTAATAAAAAAATGTTAATTTTGAAAAAAGTTAATTAAAATACCTAAAACCTAATTAATCTGAATTAAAAAAAAGTTAATTTTAAAAAAAATTTAAAAAATCTAAAATTAATTAACCTAAAAATTAAATTAGGTTTTTTTGTAAAAAAAAGGCTTGTGAAAAAAGTGTTGTGGTTAAGTGAATTTAAGATTGGAAAAGACAAATTGGTTAGAAACCAAAAACAAATAATGAAAATGCCGGGGGTGGATGTTGAACCTAAAATTAAATTAAAACCTAAAATTAAATTAAAAATCTAAAATTAATTATTTGAATTTATTAGGAAAAATCAAAGGTTTGTGAAAAATGTTAAGTTTTATGAAAAATGTTTTAAACAGAAAGAATGAAAATAGGTAAAAGGATAAATAAAAATGAAGAAAACCAAAACCAATAGGGGTAGGTGTTGAACCCACGCCTTTAACCTTCTCAGGATTTCTGTCTTGCCATGAGCCATGCATTGGTTGTTGTTCTGTTTTAGTGTTTTAGTCTCAGCGTTCTGTAATAAACCTGTATGGGACCATTAGATGGTCCAAACCTGTAATATTGAAACACATGAACGCATTAAGAAAACTAGTATGCCATGAAATACAAAGAAAAAAGTATATGAAATTTTATAATGTTAAAACCGATATGGCATGTATGAATGCTTCTACACCCTTTTGATCATGGAGATCAAACCAGTCTTATCCTTATTGGATAAGTAGTGAGATGGGGGTTTGTAACAAGGATGGCTTGTTTGTAGTGAGATGTGGGTTTGTAACAAGGATTTTAAGGTTTTTAGGGTTCTTGAAGGAATTTGATATTTTGGCAGGGTTGTGGCAAAGGTTTTTTTCCTGTTTTTCGTGTGTGTGAAAAGAATGAGATTATATAATGGAAATTAGAGGAAAAAAATGGGCTTTGAATGTACAATTGGGCCTCCAATAACCACAAGCAATAGTGTAGATTTTTATTCATTTGAGTTCGTTACGTTCCAGGCTAAATCGCAAG